ATGCGTTCTACCACTGTTACCTGGCGCTTATTATCTTCTTGAACAGATTTGAGGCTCGTGACCTCCCTGTACTTTTGAGCTAACCTCTAAATTTTGAAAGCCTTCAACTTGTTTCCCAACATTATTTGCCCATTTGAAGATAGCACACTTTTGTTTTACCCAGTGTGTGTAGTTATCGTATCTGCGAGGCCATCTAATCAGTCACACGATTAGCACTGTGTGAAGTGTGTAGGTTCTGACTCGCATTGCTGGCTCATGGTTTGCGATCGGAACCTTCAGCGTCATGTCACCTCTCAGCTGGCCTGTTTTCAGATATCGCAACGCTAGCCTTTAAATTGAAAGATGTCACCAGTTTTTTAGATGTCTCCTGTGTATTCATAGGCCTGATGGGGCATATTCGTTATCTTGTTAATCCAGGATAAAACGCGTATGCGCGCTTGGCGCATTGCAAGCAGGCTATTCTCACGTTCGCTGTACCGTTATTTGACACGTTAGACTCACACCAAAATGCTTCTTACTCATCAGTTCTTGAGAGTTTATCACCAGATCAAAAGTCACGCCAATGACGAACTATATAAAATGGAACAGTTATTAGTGAGTCTGTTCCATCTGACCTCTTTTTTACTGTATACCCAATCTAGCGTTATCATCATTATTTCTTTGCCAGACATTCCTGATCAAGCAATTCATTAGGTATCCAGACCACTATAAGTTTCATACTTTGACAGGACCTTGTTGATACCAAAATCCCATCGATCTACCGAAGGCCCATCGCAAAAACACTTAGAAACATTATGGTCGTGCTCAAGATAATAGGTGGTGACTGAGAGATGTTTTTCTGCCTCATTAGACAAAACGCACTGGTGATTTGGAAAACAAGTTCAGCTTACCAGCTTCCTCAAGTTTATGAACCTTCCGCTTGGCTTCCATGCAAAATGTTGCTTTCTTGGTGCACCTGATATTAACGAAGAACAGCGTTGGTGCTTAGAATGCTGAATAGACGCAAAAGTGCCCCGTGGTTGTGCATCGTGCACTCGAGTAACGCATTCTGAAACTACGCGAGGGATGAAAGTGATACAGCCAATCGTTTCCCAACGAACATGTGTGAAGGCACCTCTAGAGCCCCAGCACAGAAAGTTCAGAGTCGAATGCGCAAAAAGGATTAGAAGAGATTAATTGAAGTAAATCGTAAAGATAAAAATTGGTTTAGATCATTTTTGGCCCGAACTTATATGCAATAAAATACAACATTTTAGCGTGAAAGTTTTATTCTACTCGCAAGCATTCGAAGATAGAGTATTATGCGTCTAGGGTTCACCACCCTGTTTGAAATAAATTTTGTGCTTATATTTGCACCTTAGATCGGGGCCTGAATCAACGCTTTCCAGTTTTCTCACGTTTCAATTCATTTTAGAGCGGAAAGTTCGGATAGTGTTTTTCGCATCTTGGGCCCCGGCTAACAGCTGTCTGAATAAAAAGTCAGTATTTTGAAATCTTGCTATGTTTACTGTAATGTGGCCCTCAAACTTATATCGTTGTTGCAAATTATGTATTTGCCGAGTGAAGGGAGTATCACCCGACTGTGCTGTACTCTTGAATACATGTAGGCATCTGAAAGAGAACTGCACACCATATCAATGTTCGAAAGCAACAGGTTCATCAACCAACCACACAATGGATGTCAGATTGGCTTCCCATCCTCGTATAACCAGCCCGTCTACTAAAAAACAAGTGCATCATTTTAACCGCGTTGACCATGGTGACCCGGAGGTATGTGTAGCACCAAAGTTATCCAGATTTATCTTCGTTCTTACTCGTATACATTTTTAGCATTACAAGCAACCAGGTATTTACACGTCTTTTCGCTGAGCCTGTTCGGGTGCAAATTACATGAACCCACTCTATTTGTAGTAGGCTAGCGCGTTCTCGCCCCTCCGCATATTTCATCCCCTGTATACCTGCGTATTGCCCCATTATCCCAATTATCCTGGTGATCGTTTTGCAATGAGCTTCCTGTCTACTTTACCGTCCTTCCCTGAACGACTATTGAGAAAAACCTGAATCAATCGAGCGGATGCGTTCTACCACTGTTACCTGGCGCTTATTATCTTCTTGAACAGATTTGAGGCTCGTGACCTCCCTGTACTTTTGAGCTAACCTCTAAATTTTGAAAGCCTTCAACTTGTTTCCCAACATTATTTGCCCATTTGAAGATAGCACACTTTTGTTTTACCCAGTGTGTGTAGTTATCGTATCTGCGAGGCCATCTAATCAGTCACACGATTAGCACTGTGTGAAGTGTGTAGGTTCTGACTCGCATTGCTGGCTCATGGTTTGCGATCGGAACCTTCAGCGTCATGTCACCTCTCAGCTGGCCTGTTTTCAGATATCGCAACGCTAGCCTTTAAATTGAAAGATGTCACCAGTTTTTTAGATGTCTCCTGTGTATTCATAGGCCTGATGGGGCATATTCGTTATCTTGTTAATCCAGGATAAAACGCGTATGCGCGCTTGGCGCATTGCAAGCAGGCTATTCTCACGTTGCTGTACCGTTAATTTGACACGTTAGGCTCACACCAAAATGCTTCTTACTCATCAGTTCTTGAGAGTTTATCACCAGATCAAAAGTCACCTTTTTCCATCTACGTCGTGACTTATTTAAGCTATTTACCTTAAACTCCCCGGTGCATTGGTCATTAGACTTGGTGTGTTGATCACCGTCTCCTCTGATGTCCAAATCCTTACCCCCTCTAATTTCTCGTCCGTTTAGCAAATGCACCAATAATCGTGTTTTTCCATTTTCGCGAAATCCAACAATTATATTGTTTCTCCATGCTGGACGTCCTTCTCACTGGCTTGCAAAAATTTGTTCATTTCGAATGCGCACACAAACCGGTTAGTATTTCTCTCTGTTTTGTAACCTGGGCTCTCCGGTTCCTGCCTGCTATCCCCGCGGTTCTCACAAACTTCTGCGATACCACACCGGCCAATTTTATTCATGGTGGTTATTGAATAATAATGCCGCTGATTCCGAGTTAGTGGGAGACACGTGTTAGGATCGATCACAAAAAAGCAGTCAGAATAGAAGCATGACTGATAGGATTTCCGGGCCCTCAGGATTTCGGAAAACAGGACAGCCATCCAGATCGTCGAGATTTTTGCCGGATATTTGAAAACCGGGCCAGAGGACATTTCAGCGTTCGTTGCATTATCTCGTTGATCACGAAATTAAGTGAGAATAGAGAGGACGCCCTCGACGGACACAACTTTGCCTATGGAAGCTTTCCGTAACATGTCCAACTCTTGTGCACCTCCTGTCCACGATGATGCAAAAGGCAGCAAAAGGTGCAAGGACTTGAAGTCAGTGGCCATCTTATTATGCCTTCTGCTTTTTCTGCCCTGACACTCAGCAGCTTATCTAACGCCACTATAGTGGCTCGGTATATCGGTGAACATCAAACCTTGCCTTATGCCATATATAACGTATGTTGAACATCATGAAAGAAGAAAAAGCTGTGACGAAGTCGTCGGTTTCAGCGGAACGCTTGTAGCAACCATGGAATGAAACTTCATATCCAGGGTTTGACTGTCCGTTCCAGTTTGAGTTATTGCAGACGTAATGAGTGTGATTACTGTTTCCGTCGTCATAAGATTACTTCCAAATCCAATGCCTAAGAGAACCCTCGAAGAAACCAACTTTTTCACAAAATTTCACACCAATTTCATAGAGACACAGAAAGAAGCCACGGCAGCCGCTGAAATACGTATTCTGCCCCCACAGTGAACTCCGAGTCCATTTAGGATATTTCTAATGAAACCGCGGCTGCTTGGAGAGATCCTAAGCGCCCGAAAACGTACCATCAAATGTTAGAATTTTATGTTAAAGTTTCTTCTTTCCGAACCACGGTTTCAGAGAAATTGTGGAATTGCGTCTAGTGCGCGGCCTATCCTGCAGCTGTTGTCCTTTGCAAGCGATTCATGTTTTACCGCCATTACATTAGGCAACGTTTTCACCACCGGTGGGATTGAGGGTCTGGAGGATTCTCTCACTGAGGAAAACCGTCTGCGTAGATAATTTTCAAAATAATTCATTATATATAGATATTCTTCACTATGGAGTGGTAACCTTGAAAACGTCGCAGCCTTCGAGAATTCAACCTCATTGTGCGAGTACCGATCTTCTCAACCAACCGGAGCGCTAGATTTCCCTTGCCGCCGCTGTGCTCTATTGCGTTGCTTGTTCACGGCCTTGTGAGCGTCAAACAGGATGTTTTGGTTCTGGGGGCTGTATTTACTTGTAAATTGCAATGCTCTTGAGATACCTGGGGTGTTACCGAATGAGTTTAAAGTTGGTGACCCTCTGGAGGTCAGAGTAGGTTCTATTGTTTGATAGTGCTTAACGCTCGAAGGCCATAAAATTAATCAGTCCAAAGACCCAACTTCCCTACAAATACTACGAGTTGGACTTTTGTGCACCACCTCTCATACACGAGTATTTGGCGGAAAATATCGGTATGTACTCATCACCCATCTCAAACACCCAATAGGTGAGATTCTAAGAGGAGATCGCATGGTCAACACTCCATATGAGATCAACATGGCGAAAGATGTCTCTTGTGCGATTTTGTGCAAGAAGCAGTCGCTCACCAAACAGTCAGCATCCGTCTTCAAGAGCTTTATTGAGGATGATTACTCCATTCAGCTGTAGGTCCCCATACTCCATAACGTCATCCAACCTAGGTCGATCGATGGGTTGATTGGTGCCACAAAATTTGAATCTAGTGAGACAGGAAAACAGTATGTCCTGGGAACAAAACTGGGAATCCATCTAGCTGGTGTCACCTACATTTATAATCACTTACGATTTAGGCTTCAGTATAACACGGTAGACAAGTAAGCTTCTAGTTTATGGTTACTCATTCATTAGTGACAAACACCGATTTGTTGGATTCGAGATTGACCCATTGAGGTAGGCATTCAGTTTGCTCTGAATTATTTGCCCAGCATATCGGAATCACACCTACCGTCGTCCAACGGCGCATGCAAGAAGCCCAGCACTCCGCTGCCTTCATCCCAATGGCAAGCAATAACAGAGAATACAAAGAGTCTTCAGTTTTCATACGAAGTTATGTGGGAACCGTCTGACATCCGCTGGGCTTCACGTTGGGATGTCTTCTTACGTTCAGATGGTGGTCAGGTTCACTGGTTTTCCATTGTGAATTCCTTAGTCATCGTTGTTTTCCTGACTAGTAAGTCGATGTTACTCTGTTTTTTCTCTTTTATTTTGCTCCTCTTCTCTTGTAAACTCAACTCCCACATACCAAGCAGGTTTAGCTAGCCCCTTTTTTAGTTCTTCGTATCTCGAAGCAAGTACAGACTTCGAACTGATCGAAGAAATCTTACTGCAGGTTGGCTGGGCGTTTCTCCGGTGACTCGGACTATCGTTGCTCGATGAATCACTTGTTTGATTGTTTTCCCTACGACGACGTCTATAACCAAACCGTATTTGAGTCACCCGTTGAAATGGGTAAGATTTTGGATGCGTGCTGACCGGGAACCGCTTTGTTTCAAGAAATTGGAGAAATACATTCGCCGTTCGTGTTTCTTCGCGCCGTTGGGGGAGAGGGGGTTACAGCAAATAGGATAAGTACTTGGTGCTTTTCTTTACTGCTCATAAGTTTGCTGAAAGTTTTTGGACACAGTTTCGTCCTTCTTGGGGCTCATCAGGTAGGTGCGGTTCCGGACTTTCCGTCAACCTTATGTTCTCCATGGATACCAAATTAAACGCAAGTGACAAAACACACTCATTTGCAGATTAAGTTGGTGTTGCTACCTTAGTTGAGTCTTCCTTCTCGTTTACCCCTCGAATGATAGGTGTCCACTCAACTGTCGTGTCTTGCTACACATCCATCAGTACTCCATAATTTATGCGTAGGTTCTGTGTATGACTTAATACCAGACGTATGGGTTACGGTCATCCTCCCATAAAGACCCCCTTATTTAGACTATTGCCTCCTTAAAATTTTTATATCGAACTGTACAGGAATTCCTATAAAAGTCAATTCCGGACAATTCCCGCTGAACAAGGTGGTAGTCCTTTCTGGCAATAAAGAACAGACAGGTTGCACTTAAAACATTCAGAGAAGTTGCTTCGCCCTACCTAGGACGCCAAGATTTTTTGTGCTTTCGTAACTTTAGAGTACTCATTACGTGCATCTTTTATAGAGACGTGTTTTTGGGGTGGGAAGTTTCGACATATCTGTCATACCTGACGGACGCATCCAAATACTCACAACATCATCATCGCACCCTTTGTCCGACTATGCTGCTAAATATCCAACGTGCACATACTGCTGCGTCCGTTCAGCTCAGCGGGGCAGTGGCTTAGGTAGTGTATAGGGCATAGGGTAATCACATATACCGGGTTGGATTGTAACTGCTGCAGCTGTGTTTCAGATCGAACCCATGGAATCCAAGAATCCACACGGTAAACAGTTTGATAAAATGTGATTTCTGTGGACCGCTGAAATGGTTACGATCCAGATGCACGGTACCATTTCCTCAAAATTTTCTTCGTCGTAGCCCTTCATGCGTAAATCATAAGGACGGTCATCCTGGATTGTTCTCCAAAACGAGATGAGCCACTGCTCATTAGCTGCGTCGGTGGGAAAGCTCAGTTACCTTGATCCCCTTTTAGTCTTGTATTCGAGCTTGCTGGCCATGAGGACTATTCGGATCGGAGTATGGCTTGAAGAACAGATAATATTACGAATAGATGGTTTTGCGAATACAGTCATTACGTGTTTGGACCTAATTCAGTCACACTCATGCACGTGATTGCTTCACACTCCAATCCGTCTGATACCTACGACCGAGGGTTGCATTCACCAGTCTTATTTGTGACCTGAGGTCTTCAAACAGATTCGTCAATACAGTAGGCCTTAGCTGTCGGCCGCATGTTCACAGCAAATTGGTGCGCACAGTACCTCTAAAAAATAAACTTCATTCCTTTGTGATCCCTACCGGGGCCAGCACGCGTTTTCATCTTAGCTATGGCAAAACAGCAAACCAGCAACGCAAAACGACGGCACCATTCATTTCGTGAAATGTTGCCCCTTTCCATCCAATCACCACACTCACGAAAATCCTCAAAGTTGCCTTCCGTGGGGTGATCACCGTAGTTTATAGGAGTTTTGTAGATGATCCATTCTACAGTGTAGTTGAGGGTCTCTTTGCTTCATAGCCGCTGCTTCTTTCTGTCGCCATTTGAAATAAACCACACTCCATCATTGCAATGCTCAGTAGCCTTCAACTATTGCTGCACTTGTGCACTCCTTGCTTCCCACTTCCTTTTAGCTGTGATTGCTATGATCCTCGTCCGAACGCTACGGAAAGATATTGCAAAATACAATCGCGATGATGACGCGGTAAGCTGTTTGCTTCTCTTATTTATTTTCGTATCCTACCTTCCACTGCCTGTCCCATTATCAGAGAATCTAACGGGTCAAGTAAATTTTGATGTTTCAGTGCGCTTTAATTGCCTTGCGCCGTCAATGTTCTTAGAACCTCTTTCCTCTTTCGGGCGATTTTTTAAAATCTGGCCCATTCGTATTACTTTTGGACCCAATCCAGATCGTCGTCTCGATTTATACATGTGTATCTTCAAGAAAGATATCGTTGCGGAATTAAATACTGCCTAATACTTGCTGCAATGCACCCTCTGTCAATTGCTGACGGGGTTAGTTAAAAAAAAGTCGCTATAGAGAGGTGGATACTAGGGAGTGCTGTAGCCTGTGGCCTGTTCGTGGCTTCGAAGGTATCGTAGTATGTTATTACCGCTAGCTGTTTAACTTTGGGGTGAACAGATTAGATAGAGGTACGTGAAACAGATTGTTCTGTTTATTCCAATCAAAATATTTGAAACCCATTCTATAAAGAACGAGCCAAAATTGTTCACTACAAACTAATGGTCGCTGTAGAGGCATCTCATGGTTGTGCGAAAAGAGCCCTTCGAGGAAGTCGGTCGACTGGCATACGCAGCACGTGGCCAAGCCAGCGCAACCTGTGCAGTGTGATCAGTTCATCTATCGAGGGTGAGTTATTTCTCAGACATGGCCCAGTCGCGCCCTCAATGGCGCTCATGCATACAAGCTATTGCCTTCAATGCATAGCTCCTTTTCCAACCCCCCACTTGACAGCCCACGGACAGTGCTGGATTTATGCACTAATTTACCAGCTCGCGCGTGCAATGCGCAGCTACCTACCCCCCTCCCCCCAAATCATCGGTGAACGAAACTGCGGCAGCTAGAACCAGTGTACGACGAGTACGCGGCTCTTACAGCTGACGATGATGATGATGATGATGATGATGATGTAGAGGCATCACTGTATTTTATTGCCACACGATTTTGGCGCAATCACCCCGTTATCCCTCCCTACTTAGCAAAAGGAAATATCATCACGTCACGAGTACGAACTCAAAACAAACCGTCTAGATGAATTGAACCAACCTAAGCCTTGTATATTTGGACACTGCTCTGCTCAAACCCTAGTCCGCATAAAAACCTTGATTTTTCTTTATAACTTTGCTTTCAGTTCAATGTGTTACTGACTGAGTGATTTATAGTGTTTATCGGACCTAGCTGGTTGAGCCCTTAGTGAATCGGTAATTTGTTACTGCTTGCGCTGATTTTGGAAGTTATTGTGTAGAATTGTTCCGCCGGCCACTGTCTATGGGGTATTTAGTGCCAGTGTCCCTGACTGTCACTGGTAAATCTGTTCTGATTTCGGGACTAGCATCACCGGTAATATGTTACTGTTGACCAAAGTTCAATTCGCGGTGAGTGTCGTTAGGCGTGTTATTTTCCTTTATCATATTCACCGCTGTGCATGCCACCAACACGTTTCCTGATTTTTGGTCGCTCCTTTATCAATCGCACGTGGTCTCTCTTCGAAACATCTTTGTTTCTTACAATAAACAAGTGGCAGTGAGTGCAACGTTGAATATCGCCCTTCTGCTACATAAACTTACTTACTGCGTCACGTTGTGCTGTTCCTGATTTTTGGTCGCTCCTTTATCAATCGCACGTGGTCTCTCTTCGAAACATCTTTGTTTCTTACAATAAACAAGTGGCAGTGAGTGCAACGTTGAATATCGCCCTTCTGCTACATAAACTTACTGCGTCACGAGATTTGTGCTGTTCTTGATCTCATCCGATCCGATCACGTTTCCATGTTGTTCAACAAGACCAAAACCTGCGTGCGAAATTAACAAAGCTTGATACTGAAAGACCACGAACACCAATCAGAGTCGCATTATTCAGCAGAATAATTAATGATCGGGTTAAACGGGAGATTCAGTTAGGTCTGTCGTTAAAACCAAGATGAGTTACGTACCAGTGTATTTTGACAAATCTGTCCTACCTGGAATCCTGCCATTACACTGTGGGAATGTCTCCCTCTGTAGAACAATTTTATTCCTCAAATTTCTCACACTGGACTCGCTTGACCTTGATGTGTGCAGTGTATGGGAAACAAAAATTCAAGGTGCAAGCACAGTGGTTGCGCTAACCACATAATCACCCTCCACTCGTTTCCGGCTGCGCACATCTGGCGATCCAGAGGCTGCTATGGTAGGGTGTGCAGGGGTTACCTTCCTAAGTCAACGGGAGGAAGGTTCTTTGATAATCGCCTTTGAGCAGTTTTTCTTGCAACGTCTGTGAAGTAGTCTCGCAAGGGAGATTTGATCGATGTCCGTTTGTCGTGTCTGTCTAACTATCCAACCGGCTGTAACTCTAGTACCATCAGAGACAAGTTTTACGACGCCCTGAATTCCATGTTGCGACTAGCTAAAAGCCCAGATACCATGGTCGTTGTTTGAGATATGACTACACAAGTGAGCAGGCTTAGCGCATCTGAAGCTCAATTAGGAGGTAGACGTGGACTGGACCTGCTACGTGTGGACAATGATGAACGGTTGCCTCAGCTGTTCTCAAACAGTATCAACTTGCGAAATAACTGAAGTCGTCCAGCCACATGGTGTCCTTCAACGGCGTGCCGGCCACGAACTCAAATTGATCACATTGCCTTCACTCACCAATGCCGTGGATCACTAACCGACTGCCGCTCGTTTTCGGGCACATTTATGAATTCCGACCACGCGTTGTCCAGTGTCGCTTCTCCCTTCGTTTTCCAGGGCTTCGTCAGGTGCAGAAAAATAGCCTGGCAACAGGAAGAATTTACCAGAACTATCTTCCAGAGTCTCTTGCGAATGCCCTACCATCAGATGTGAATTCTTACCCAGACGAGATTGCCGCTTCTCCACATTGCTGGGATTTTCACCCGTGGCATGACACTGCCAAGCTTACTCAAGCACTGAAATTCAAACTGAACAATTGCACTTCTTAAACCTCAGAGAATTATCCCAGCCTGCCTCGAAAGCGACGAATTATCAGACGTCAAGTGAAAGTTAGCATGCGAAACGACCGTGAAGTCTGGTGGACACGGAAGGGCAAGAGAATGAAAGAGATCCAGAAGGCTTTTAATGCCCAAAAGTCTTTTCGTTTGATCAATGCCGACGGTCCCCGAAAGCTATCTGTGAGCGAAACCATCAAGGATAGAAGTGGAGTGACCGTCTTTATTACAGAACTCTTCGACCGTTGGGTCGGATACTTTGAACAAGTTATCGTGGCTACCAGCTGCCACTCATCTAGAGCCCATTGTCGACGTAGGACGAGGTACTGGCGAGATCACTCAGTGGTTAGAGCGCGAATTCATTGACCGGAAGTCCTGTGTTTCGAACTTGGCCTCCGCCTCTTGACTTCTCCTCTCTAGTCTTTGGCAACCTGGCATTATCCCACCCCTCGTGCTTCCTTTAGGTGGCATGGCAACTAGGCACCGAAAGGTTATCACAGCTGGACGATTTATTTAGTAGAACCCTGGACGGTCACGAAGAGACTGGACCTTACCGTGGTGTGACGGTTTGCGCATTTCAGCGATCCATTGAGCTATACTGGAGAGTGTCCCGCGACACTCACAAAGTCTCTCATGCCAGGTTGGTCCATGGTTAGAGGTCTGACGAACACAGTCTCCTGGCCCTCCAGGTTGGGGGTTGGAACATGTGGCGACTTGTTCCGTAGAAATGGTAATGCATTTGCATTCCCCACCAAACACTACTGCCTTGCGGTTAGGCTTTTGAGCCAAGGGCTTTGGTTGAGGACCCTAATCATCCTCCCGTCTAGGTGTGGGTGCCCTGGCAGTATCACAGCCCACGTACAACCATGAACTGCACATACACAAATAAACTCATGCCACATCGGCCATCGCGTGGTGCCATCAGCCGTGTCGCCTTACTTGCTGCATACAGCAGGGCGGGTAAGCGAAAACAGGCTACTGCTGACGTCTCACTTCTTTCTCCTTCACATACTTTCCCCCCCTCTCCCCACCCCATTAATAACTCTCTCTTTGTAGGCCCAGCACTTAGGACTGATGACTCCGTTCGTCGTGCACCGGTTTTGCGTGCAGCATCTGCTCGTCACATGGTGCCGACATCTTCAGGAATCTCCAAATCAGTCCTCAAGCCTCGACACCCAGTCTATCTGGCCGCGTTCAATGTCCGCACTCTGAAGCAAGCAGGACAACAAGCTGCTCTTGCACTCACACTGGAC